CCCAAACAAGAGGAAGCTGAGATTTCACAGCACTCCGTTCCCAATTTGCAGATGGCCTGGAAGTCAAAGGACGAGTGTTTTCAAATGTATAGTGTAGTGGTGTTTGGTGCAAAAAGGGCAGAGGTATGGCTTTCCAGCTACCCAGATCAGAGAAATTAGGTTAAACTGAGAAAGCTCCGCCCCAGCCAGATCAGGGACCTAGGCCCTGAGTTGATCCATGTGATAGAATGGGTCCCTCTGCTTGGTCTGAACAAGTGCCCCTTCCTGAGCGTTAGCCAGTCTCCCCTCTCCTTGCAGGTATCTCAGCATGAGCATGCAGAGCCCACCGCCTCTGGATGAGCTGGTCCAGCAGAGCCTGCTGAAGAGTGAGACCATAGCCAGAGCTGCTCTGCATGACCTGCCCACCTTGAGCTTCCATGACTTATTCATGAACGCCTTCATGGGGGAACACAATGAGGTCCTGAAGGCTATGGTGCAGGCCTGGCCATTCCCCTACCTCCCTCTGATGACTCTCATGGATTTGTGGAAAAAGAAGACCCCACATGTTCAGTTTGGAGATATCACACCACAACAGAGAAACCTAAGTACCCTGAAAGCGCTACTGGAAGGACTTGATAGACAGCTGTCATGGAAGGCTCACAAGAGGTGAGAGTGACACACGCAGGCAAGGAGGGTTGCGGGAGTACACGGAGGGCAGGTGGTGTCAAGGAGCAAGGTAGACAGGGAGTGACTTCTGGTGTTGAGCTTCACAGAAGGCTTGACCTTTGCTAAGCACCATGTGGCAGTGTTTTCCTGATGAGAAGGCTGCATGAGAATGAAGTGAGGAACTCAGGAGGAGCCCGCCCATTCCTGCTCTCACAGGACCTAGAAAAGGAACCAAGCTGCATGCAGAGGTTAAAAGGGTAGAAAAAGGAAGACAGGAAAAGTGAAGGTGCAGCTGGTGCCCAGAAAGTAGAAGAGAAGCACATTAGGACGTTGGGTCTTTATCTCACTTCTGAGGCTGCTTTCTGTTTTGCCCACAGCAGGTGGAAACTGCAGGTGCTGGACTGGAGGGATGTACACCGGGACTTCTGGACTGGGGGGCCCAGAGCTGTGAGTGCAGCCCTCTCAGCAGTTGCCAGGAGTAAGGAAATGGGCAAACCTGGGTTAAGTGATAAGAAGCCGAACTTAACAATACTCACACACCTTTGTTTCAAAGCCTGGTGTCCGACTTGTTCCACACATGACACATTGCAGCTCTGCCTGTTGAAGTGGGCCAGGCAGAGAAAAGCTTCAGTGCACCTGTACTGTGAGAAGGTGATGATCAAGTCCTGTGCTGGCTTTAAAATCCTCAAGCTTCTGCGAGCTGTGCGACTGGACTCAATCCATGAGCTGGGTGTGTTTAGTTACTGGGATGAAAAAAGAATGAAAACATTTGTTCCTCAGCTCAAGAAGATGAAGAACCTTCACAGATTGCATTTCAGCAGCCTGAGGCCAAAATTACTTAATTCAGCCTCAAAAAACAACTGGTATTCCCTCATGTATGCTTTACACCTAGGACAGCTGCAAAATCTCCGGGAGCTTCATGTAGATGACCTCTTCTTCCTGGAGGCAAATCTGCATAAGATCATCAGGTGAGTTGGGGGGGGTGCTCCCCTGCACATTGCTGGTTACAGTGAAACTTAGTAGGGCATCTTTGTCCCCATCAGTTGGCCCAGGGGAAGACACTAGGCAGTGGGAAAGACAGCACTGTCTGGACCATGGCAAGGTCTCTCATAGCCTCCCCTGTAAAAGCAGGGACTAAACCGGGACAGGAGGCCTGGAGCAGGTGTCATGACCAGGAAGCCAGCAGGCAGGGAGCAGCCAAAATGAGGGCAGATATGACTCCTCTTAGGAAGCAGGTCTAGGTAGGGTCCTGGGAAAGGGAAGAGAGAGCACTCATGCAGGGGCAGGCCGCACACCCGCACACTGGACAGGTGACTGTGCTCAGCAGCCGTGATGGGCAGCGAGCCCTTCTCCGGGTCCTTAGGGAAAGGCTGCTGGTTGCTTCTCATAACTACTTTCTCCCCGTGGGAACAAAATACCCAGCACACACAAATTACGTGGGGAAAGGTTCACTTTAGCTCGTAGCTTATATGGGTGTTAGTCCCTAGTCCGTTGGCTCCAGGCATGGAAGAGAAATAAGCCTGTGGCATGGTAGGTAGAAAGCAGCTGGCTGCCTTCTCTGTCTTCTCTCTCTTTACTTTTTTTGCCTGTTTGAGACATAGTCTCACTATGCACTTCGGGTTAGCTGGGCTTGAGCTCACTTTGGAGTCCATGCTGGTCTCAAACTTGAGATCATTCTCCTGCCTCAGCCTCACCAGTGCTGAGATTGTATGAATGCACCACTATGCCTGGCCTTCTTCTTCTCTTATATTCCATCCAGGCCACAAAGCTATTGCTCGGTGCAATCCACACCCATGGCATCACTTACTCCTTAAATAATCCCATCCGCCCCAGCCATGCAAAAACCAATTATTGAGGCTGGGACTATAGCTCCATGGCACAGTGCCTGCCAGGCAAGACCAAAGTCCCAAGTTTGATTCCCAAGAACTAAAAAAACCACAATCATCACACTGACCCAGTTATCACACTCGTATCTAGCCACTTCCCCCAACCCCCACCAGTGAGAGCATACGGCTTTGTGGGGACAGCAAGTTTAAAACCATAACAGTGCTCAAGGCAGGGCAGTGAGCAGAGGGGAAGGGCAGCAGTCTGGAGCTGAGGGTGAGGAGGAGTGCAGGGATGTGAACAGGGAAACACACGTAGCTGAGGACACAGAGCCAACTCCAGTCCACTGCCCACGCTTGCCTGAGTTCATCCTTCCTCCAAGTCACTCACTGGCCTCCTCCAACCAGAGCCGTGAATTTCCCCACGGTGCTGAGCACAGGGAGCTGTAGAGAATGGGACTGAGCCAAGCACACAAGTGACGGTGACTTGAAGGATCCGTGTCTTCAACACACAGCATTCCGATGATCATCAGATGGTGCTGGCATCACTCGCATAAACTGGCTCTCCTGCACTGAGGTCATTTCTAATGCACCCCACTCATCACCCCATTCATAGCAAATAACCTTTCTCTTGTGCAGAAGCCCGATCCACTTGGAGGCCCTCTCCGTGAGTTCAAGTCCACTGAAGGAATCTGACCTGAAGCATCTGTCCCAGTGTGCAAGCACAAGCCAGCTCAAGTCCCTGACCCTGAGGAGGATTTCAATGAAGGGGTTCAAGCCTGACACCCTCCAGGTTCTGCTAGACAAACTGGCCAGCAACCTGGAGACCCTGGTCCTACAGCACTGTGACCTCATAGACTCCCAGATCCTTGCCATCTTACCTGCCTTGAGCCTCTGCACCCAGCTCAAGACTTTCAGTTGCTATGGGAACCACTTTTCCTTGGGCACCCTTCAGGTCCTGCTGCACCTCACTGCTGGACTGAGCCAGTTGTCCCAGGGGCTGTATCCTGCCCCCCTTGAGAGCTATGAGTCCAATGTTCCAGCACAGTTTGTGTACCCTGAGCTATTCGCCCAGGTCCGTGCAGAATTGACACAGGTTCTGAAGGTGCTAAGACCATCTCTTAGGGTCCAGACCTGTACCTACTCCTACAACATTTGCATGATGTACCAGTACTATAGCCTGGATCCCAGTGGGGACTGGGAAGTCACAGAGGAGCATCGCTATCAAAGTAACCTTAGGTGCTACAATTGTGTGCATTCCCAACACAGTGAAGGTATTTTCTTCATCTAAATGCCCCCTCCACACCCCCTGCACTGACAGGTTGGTGTTTCAGGAGGTGAGTGCACCATGTGTGCGTGATTCTCATCACTGGATTTGTCCACTGAGTTTATACCTTCATGTGATCTTGGGAGGCCAAGCCTGGTCAGAGGAGGTGGGTCACTGGGGACGTGGCCTAGAAAAATCTATCTTCCTCCCTCTCTGCTTCCCACAGCCAGGTCATAAAGTGTTTTTCTACTGCCATGTACCTCTGCCATGACAGCCTATAAACTGAATTGTAAAATAAAATAAACCTTTCCTCTATGAAATTGCGAGTGTTAGGGATTGTTTACCAATGAGAAGGGAGGTAATGAATATGTGCATTGTTAATCCTGTAGAGATGATTTTGAAATGCTCATTAGGGCAAACCTGCTTTGGATTGAAGCACATGTCCATAACCCCAGCACCTTGGAAACAGAGGCAGGAGAATAACCTCCAGCTTGAGGCCGGACTTAGGTACATACTAAGATCCTATTACATAAGTAAATATATAAATAGACAAAAAAATTAAGGGAATCAATATCAATTCTCTCCTGGTGACCCAGTAATTTGATTTTCCAATTTACTTATGCATTGATTATTTTTTATTTATTAATAGGTTTGACATACTTAATAATTACATTCATCTTGGATAGGTTAGCTTAACTTTCCTCTCTGTGTTCATAGAACAGGGAATTAAGGATCTTCACACTTAGCTGAATCTCCAGCGCTTTTTACTGGTTTTTTTTTTTGGTACCAGGAAATGAACTCAGGACTTCTCACTTGCCAGGCAGGTGCTTGTGCTACTGAGTTATATCCCCGGACCTTTACTGTTTAATATTTTTCTACTTTTATATTTTTGCCTTACTTAATGATCACATTCATCATGTGAAGTTACTTACATAATACATCTTAATTATTTTTATGTCCACTTCCCTCCCCTTCCATCTCTAGCTCCTCTTCCATTTGCAGGTTATACGCTCAGACAGGGACTCACTAAGTAACTAAGTTACCCAGACAAGGCTCAAGTTTGAAGCGATCCTGTCTCTGCCTCCAAGGGTGCTGGGATTAAAGGCATGTACCACCATACCCAGTTTGACTTTCCAATTTGTCCTCAGCAATTTCCAATGGTTGCAGAAAAATATCCATTGGATTGTCTTGTGTTCTTGGGGATAGGCTGCAGAATCTCCAGGCTTCAAAATAACTTGCTGCACTTCAGATCCTTCCTTCACTTGGTACAGTGCTTGGGATAAAGTCTTGGGCCTCATTCATGACAGGCCAGTGGTCTACCACTGAGCTACTCTCCCAGCCAAGTACCAGAAGTGATGAAGGAGTTGGGAACATCTGGCTGGAGCTCTGCTCACAGACAAAACACCTGAGAGCTCCACTGCTGGGTCACGTTCCAGTGATATATGTCATCAATTTTCCAAGATATCCTTGTGTATTAGAGTTGCCCCATGAAAAACAGGGACGCTAAACAACCCTCTGATTCATAGCTGAGTGTGGAGCCTGGCAGCTGGCGGTAACTGCTGCTGCCCTAGGTGGCTGGGAAATCTCCAGGGTCAAGTCATAGCCACCGAGAGGAAAAATTAGATAAGTGAAACTTAGAGGGCTAAAAGTGATGTGAATACCATGCATAGAAAATGCAGCTTGTGATGCTGTGGACACTGTGTGGGTGACAGAAATCCAAAATTCACAAGGGTGGACAAGTCAATGCATTTTCACACATTCTCCCCCAAGTCATGGAGGACAGTACTGCATATGTAAACAGTCCTAGAATGCAGATGGAGCCACCACCTTCCCTGCACCCTTGGGCTCTCTCCAGACTTCCCAGCTTAGGCTGCCTTCCAGGTCACTCTCACTTCCCGTGCATTTGTGCATACCGAGGCCTCCGGTTGCTTATTCTCTCCTAGAAATGGTGTCCCAGGTGCCAGTCATGTTGATTCTTCTCCACTTATTTGTAGCTCTTCAAAGATTTGTCCTTGTACTTCACAAGTGTGGTAGCCCTTCTATAAGCCCAGTACTAAGCAGAGAGAAGAGAATCGCCTTGAGGTCAAGACCAAACAAGACTACACAGCGAGACCCTGTCTCAGAAATTTGAAAAATTAGTCAAGTATGGTGGTTCAAACCTGTAATCCCAGCACTCAGAACTCGTAAGCATGAGGACAGCTGCAAGCTCAAGACTGCCTGGACTATATAGTGTGTTAATGTTCAACATGAATTTCCTAGCAAGAGCTTCCTCTAAATAAATGAATAAATAAATGAAAGAATAATTAATTAATACACATGAATAATTTTTAAAAATTGGACAAACATCAAAGTAACAAATAAACTGAAGGTGGATGATCCCAGAACTTCTAGGATGTTGAAGCAAGATCTCAAATTAGAGCCCTGGCTAAGCAATATAAGAACTATTGAGACTGACTCTCACAAGAAAACCATACAAAGGGCTGGGGATGTAACTCAGTGCAAGGGTTCCATGCTAATCAGCACTACCAGGAAAAAAAAAATGATTGATAAATAGAAAGAAAGAAAGAAAGAAAGAAAGAAAGAAAGAAAGAAAGAGAGAGAGACGATAGACAGGGATAGTGATGGATGGATGGATGGATGGATGGATGGATGGATGGATGGATGGATCGATGAGCAGATGCATAAAGGTCCAAGTTTTCACTTGCATTGATACCTCAATGGCCCAGCTGTAGCACAGAAGTTCATTCAAGTTCCTTGTTGTTTGAGGCTCTGACCCAGTTTCCAGCCCATGTCCCATGTGAATATTCTAGTCCAGGTCCAGTATGTGTCTGGACTCCATGACATAATCTGTGCTCCTAGAAGCCCCAAACTTCACACACTTTATCATTCCCTCATTACAAGCTCCTTGTGTGTTTTGTTTGTTTTTAAGGCAACATCTTGCTATCTACTTCAGGCTGGCCTTGAACTAACTGGCCCAGTTTGGGCTCAAGCTCAGTGATCCTCCTGTCTCAGCTTCCGAAGTACTGGGATCACAGGTGTTTTCCACAAGCTTGCAAGCACCATTTTGATTCAGGTGCACATGTGTAATTCCAGCACGAGGGAGGCTGAGACAGAAGGCTGAAGACTTCAAGGCCAGCCTGATGTGGACTGCATAGCAAGATTCTGTTTCAAAAGATCAAACAAACCAAAGAGGGTGACCGAGCATCAAGAAGATACTTGCAGTGGCTGACAGGAGGTTCAGTGCACCTCAAACTTTTAGAAAAGGAAGAACAAGTCAAGCCCAAAGCCCAAAGAAGGGAGGAGATTATAAAGCTCTGGGCAGAAACTAAAGTTTAAGATGCAGCATTAGGCTATTTATTTGTTCTGTTTCCGTTTTCCTTATGTGTGAATTCACTGCTATAAATTTCCCTCTGAGGACTGCTTTCATTGCATCCCATAGATTCCCGTAAGTTGGATTTACATTTTCATTTGTTTGTAGGTATTTTTTAATTTCCTCTTTAATTTCTTCCTTGACCCACTGGTTGTTCAGGAGGTTGTGGTTTAATTTCCAAGTGTTTATGGAGTTTTTGGAATTCCTTTTGTCATTAATTTCCAATTTCATTGCTCTGTGGTCAGATAATATGCACGGGATAATTTCAATTCTTTTGCATTTTGGAAGGTATGCTCTATGGGCTAGGATGTGGTGTATTTTAGAGAAAGTCCCATGTGCACCTGAGAAAAATGTGTATTATGATGTGGGGTGGAACACTCTGTATACATCTATGAAGCCCATTTGTTCGTGGCTTTGGTTCAGATCAGTTATTTCCTTGATGATTTTTTGTCCAGTTGGCCTATGTCTTTGTGTCAATGGGATGTTGAGGTCCTCTGTTACAGTAGTGTTATTAATTAAATGGGTTTTCATGTCTGTTAACATTTGTCTTATATAGTTTGGTGCTCCGATATTTGGTGCATATATGTTTATGATTGTTATCTCATCCTCTTGCAGTTTTCCCCTGACAAGGGATTGCACTGGTGTGACAATCCCGGAGCAGTGGACCTATGTGCCCAGGCAGTTCAGGGTACAGGCAAAACCCAGACATGAACTGCAGGGTCGACAGTTGTGATCCACCTGATTCTGTGTCTCCAGTCAGTTCAGGACGTGCACAGGAGCCAGACCTGGGCCACTCAAAGAGCAAGCACAGACTGTCCTTGCCTGCAACCAGCCAGCCCCAGCATCGTAGATGGTGGAACAAAGTCCGCACACCGCCACTGCTTTTTATGGGTTTTTAAATACTTTTCCTTCTTGTCCCTAAAATTAGCATCAACTTTGTCATCAAATGAATGGATAAGTTAGATGTTCCTTTTCCCACAAAGCTGAAAAACATTCTCTGCAATTTATTTGTCTTTTTGAGACAGGGTCTCACTGGACAGTTCAGGCTGACCTTAAGCAGTGTGTAGCCCAGGCTGGTCTCACCTCCCAGTGATCCTCCTGCCTCAGTCTCCCCAGTGCTGGGATTACCGGTGTGTGCCACCACACCAGGCACTAACGTTCTATGCAAAATTTTTTAGAGTGTCAGTTTGCCGTAGTGGAACATTCCTATAAACATATTACTCAGGAGAGTGAGGCAGGAGGATTACCATGAGTTTGAGGTTAGCCGTGTCTACATAGAGGATTCCATGCCAAAGTGAACTACATACTGAGACTCTGTCTCCAAAACCAAAACAAAATGACCCGGCATGGTGGTGCATGCCTGTAATCCCACCACTGGGGAGGCTGAGGTAGGAGGATCACTGAGAGTTGCAGGCCAACATGAGTTACAAAGTGAGCTCAAGGCCAGCATGAACTGCATAAGGATAACCTGTTTCAAAAAGACGAAACAAACAAACAAAAACAAAAACAAAATGGTGCATCTAGTTTATGCCCATCTCCCTCCCTAAGTGGCAGATTTCTCTTCTGTGAACAGAATATGTGGGAATCTACATCTCAGCATTTTCCATCCTAACTTTAAAGTGCTCAGTGACTTTGCTACATGGATTTCGCCATT